CCTGTATATGAAAAATATGGTAAGAAAAAGTATTACGATCGTGAAAATTTCGGAATTTGAATTATATAACCTTAATTCCTTACGAAGAAGGATAATTAAATATTGTGAAACAATAACACATATCCGGTGCCGATCTGCCACTGCAGGTGTTGAAGAAAGATGCCGAGCCTGTCTTTATGCTCAAAGAAATCACTTTGAACAGAATTTAATTAAGTACTTAGAACAAAAAAATAGGTTTTATTTATTTCATATAACGTAAATGATTCATGACAACGAAAATCTTTAGTTGAGAATATCTCCTAAACAAAGCCTTTGCGGACATATCTTCAGAGGAAATTTGTTTCTTGTTTAACACCCTGTATAACAAATCTTATCTGTTACTGTAACGAATGTTTGATTGTATGATGGATTTATAAGTCACTTTTTCAAGGCAGGTTTCTTTATCAAATTTTCTACTAAAACAGAATTAAAAAAAATTTATCAGTCCGCTATACAGCTCTTTTTATCAAATTATTAACATCCGTCTAAAAGTTCGTGAATTCTTTTTTTATTTAAGAAAATTCTAGGAAATGGGGCTCAATTTGGAGATCGATAAACTTTGTTTATGTAATGAAGTACTAAAACTCATGAGTTCCCATTTGCTTTCCACTCAAATCGAAAGATAATGCGATCACAAAATCTCCACCCCCAACATAACGAGTTGTCAGAATAACGAGGTTGTATAGGCCCAACGGTCCAATATTTTTGCCAACTTTTATCTCGATTTTGTGATGAAATTATTTTACGATTCAAGAGGTAAGAAAATGGTTGTTCATGAGGTTTTAATACCTCATTACATAGAAAAAATTTACCGATCTCAAGGCTGGAAAAAATTTCATTCCCGAGCATTTTCGTAAATAAAAGTTGAAGGTTATATGACATAGGTACCGACTTATGAAAATTATTGGTGGAGGGCTTATCTGTAGGATCACGGGATAGGGACTAGAAAGGGTAGGGATATTGTTTGAGATATATACTGTATACCTATATGCAATACATAATATATGCCTATATGAAAAATTACCATCTCTGATAAGTAAGGAGTTGTTTCAAGCCCTTCCTGATGACAAAAAAAGTGTTAAGTCACTCAAAACACTTCAAACTATTGTAAAACAGTACTACATTTTAATAGATGATTTATTACTTTCACTTACGTATATATGTAATATATAGTAAGTGCAAGTATTGCGATCGAGAAAATTTTTGAATCTGAGTTTTCGACGGATTTATACGTTTTGAGGTACCCTGAGTCGAAATGACCAAGTCCCGACAAATGGTCTGTGTGTTTGTATGTTAGCAGTCTAGCTCAAAAACGAAAAGTCCTATGAAACTGATATCACATATTTAAGATAGGTATATGCCTTAGTTGTGACAGCAACTTTTTCCTTAAAATCGGCTAACCGGAAGTGCCACTTTTTTAGTTTAGGTGAGTTTATGAATTCAAAATAGAATACCGTAAAAGAAATTCTAAAATACTTGTAAGTCGATAGTTAAAGTCCTTTGTAATGGAATTGCAATGTACACGATCGATATGTACATGAAATTCATACTGTAGCAATTTGTTGGGGAGCCTGGACTCCAATCAGTCCAGATAGCATTGGAGGGGAGATTCAAGCCCTGCGAGGCCCTAGTGGTCGATAAGAAGAAGCCATTCACGAAGTTTTAGATGAATGTTAATAATTTGATAAAAACGGGTCTGTACCGATGTCTATATTGCAAATATTGTTTTTAAAAGTGTCTTTAAAGCCAATTTTAAAATGTTTACTAAAAATTGATATTTCGAATAGAGGATCAATAACTACTAACTAAAACCATGATAAGTTTAACATTATAATTCTGTACCACAAAACTGCGGTGTAAACCTGTAACGAATTTATTTCCTAATGTAACAACGGACGGAATAAAAATGAACATATCGTTATCTTTGCGAGTGACCTCAACGGCTCCTATCACAGCCAGTTCAGTCTGGATCACTGAGGCGAGATGTTCTGGCTCTGCTGTGTCCTCCTGATCTTAGTCCAGGCCTCTACCTCGGAGTCGGCAGCCTCCAACGGGACAATCTTCAACGGAACAGTCATAAGCGCGAAAGACGTCGGCAACAGGACAGTCGTGCAAGTGCCCTTACTCAAGAAGACTTGCCCGACAGGTCAGATGTTGCTGAAATGTAATCACACACTCTGCTGTAGGCCAGCTTTCTTCCAAGGTACTGTTGGGTCTTTAATTCTGGTAGACTGTGTCTACCAGATGCGTCAACCTTCATTTCTTAAGAATTTTACGACTATAATTTATTTGTATGAGCTTTACCGTATGTATATACACTTAAGTAAATATATGAAAAAAAATCTAGTGCGATGCGTGCATCACACAACTTTCACTTACCACCTTCTTAGCAGAAATGAGTATTTTCAGACAAAGCGAAGTGAAAGTAAAAATTATAGACTCTATATTTGTTTATATTTCATTGTAGGTATTTTTATCTGTATAACTACCCTCATATGTACAATTTTTAATATTTATATCGCTGTAATCTCTACAGTTAAATATTAAATAGCATTTATGAAAACCACATATGTATATTTATATAATATTGTCGGAGACCGTATTATATTAATGTCATAAAACGCATGGAAGCGTCTTCTAATCTTTCGGGCGAGCATGGGTAAGCTTGTATTCCTTTGGTTCCTCAATTACAACTATTCTTCATTCCGATCTCTTATATCTACTTAATTTATTTATCAAAGTCTCTCATATTTTATATTTCACCATTTTTCATATTAGAAATTAAAGCGAAATGGTCAATTGATTCAAATAAAAAAAAATTAAAGGTACTTTAGAGGAAGCTAATATTGAAAATTAGACATTTAAGCCCTGTCAGATAACATCAATCAAAATAAAGGTACTGTAGAAAAAGAAATACTGAACATTCTGCATTTAAGCCCATTTAACTATGGTGACATCAATGTGGATAATACCTAGATGATCTTAAAGACCACTTAATATTACACTGAAATACCGAGTTTAATCAAAATCTTTAGAGCCGTTTTTGAGGAAATCATAAAAATTTGTAACATCGTTGAACTAAAGAGGCACTCTAAAGAGACAGTTTCGTACAACTTTTCGTTTTTGAGCTAGACTGTTCACAGACAAACAGACCATTTTGCGGAACTCGGTAATTTGGACTAAGGGGGCATCGAAACGTTTATTTTCTGTGAAAACTCAGATTAGAAAATTTTCACGATTGCAATAATATGGAGGAAATAAAATTTCTTGTTAAATATTTCTATTAATGAAATCAAATCTGTGGGTTTAAAGAGGACTTTTTGTACAAAGATTAATCGTATGTTGATTAAATATAGCAAATATTTGTATGCATATTTATGGATTTCATTCTTATCAATGACCGTTTTGATAACGAGGAAAAAAAAGATTAGATTTTGTTTGTTTTTTTCTCTTGCACAGTAACCTTTTAGGAGACTTGTGCAATTCTAAATATTTAAAGATTTCATGCCATTTGGCATATTACCTGTATAAAGTGATTTTACGATCATTTTTAAAATTAGTTAGGCATAAAATTAATATAAATTGAAATAAACATATCGTAGGTTTATTGCAATATGACACGAAGTGCTATTTTGATGTAGGTGAACTTTCAAAAATATTTTTATGAATTTAGGCTTAATTTATGGATACTCTCTCCCTTTTATGGGTTCTCCCTTTTATGCATCAAACAATACAAGAAGCTCACAGTTTTCTGATTTTATAAAGTAAAACTTGTTCAAAGTTCTTTTTTTAAGATTATGAAATGTCACTTAATAACTTTTTTTTATATAAATCGACGATATAAAAAAAAGACACGAGAGAAAATAAATGAAGAAAGAGAGAGTTTGAGAGAAAAGGGGGAGGGAGAAACAGAGAGAACGAGTGAAACACATATAGAAAAAGAAGGAACTAAAGTATAAAATGGATAGATAGTTATATTAAAAAAAATAAAAATAAAAATAGGAAAACTAAACAGCCACAAACAAAACGTTGAAAGTTTGGATTGTACTTCAGTTCTTCCCCGATTCTATTCTGTTGTTATTGCAATATTATATTCTAAATCTTCTTAATGTTTATTATTTCAGTTTTCTTTTATTTTTATGTTTTCAGAAATTTACCATTGAAAGTTTAATACGTTGACAGTAGCGGATACAGGATTTCATTTTAGAGAAAGCTAGTTTGTTTTTTGTGTTTTTTTAACAGTCCGTAATTACTCTAGAAAAATAATAATGTCATTGAAGAGCTGTAAAAAAATAATAACAATGCTTTTAATTTATATTAATTTTTTATATTTACTTCTTGACATGCGCTTACATTTAGTTGCTATATAATTTAAGAAGATTACATATTTTTAATTTTTTTTTATTATGTTTTTAATTCACAAAAACAAATATGGAAGGAGGAGAGCTTCAGCCCCATTGTACCCCCCTTCACCATCCCCTGCGTGGATCCGCCATTTATTGAAGAAAATATTTTCTTTAAGTTGACATTATTCCCCCCTCCCCTCTCACCCTCCTCTCCTCCACAGCAAGATATTTGGATTATATTTATATTTATATATAGAAGAAGATATTTTGAATCATTTAAATTTATAAAAAAATGATTTTTTATACCAATCAGAACACTAGCGCATCGTTATTTTTTTGCCACGGTTCCAACCACTCTTACTCTGTCACAGTTTTAAAATTCTGGTCCAGTTTCTCACCTGTACTGTTCTGGAATTAAAAATATGTATATGCTTAATTTAATTTTAAGTTGAAATCCTACTATCGAAACTCCAGGAGTATGAAAAAACTGAATGTTGACTATCAGCTGCAATATTTTTGAATAGAAATTAAAATATGTGTGATTTATTCGTGTGTATGTGTATAAATATATTTTCTTTTAGTCAACATTAACATATATATATATTTTTTTTACAGGGAGTTAGAGTTGGATCGACTTCCTAAAGAACCGTGTCCACCAGGTCAAAGAAGATCAAGACTACTTTGTAGGGATTATTATGTTTAAGTAAGTTCACGCCAATAAAATATTTTTTTCTTTTAACTGAGTATTTTCCTATGAGTATGTTGTTAAAGTTACATATAGCATGATCTTGTTTTTTCAAGCGATATTTATAAATTTTTAGTGCTTCCTTATATTTCCTATATAATATTATTTATCTAGTCATAGTTTTCATCTTATGAAATAAGATGGTATTGGCTATATGAAATTTTTTAAATTATTATAACTTGTTGATCTCGATTCTGACCAATTTAACTTTTGGTACAGCATTTTTGACAAATTTTTGTTACTTTATTAGATACCGATTTTATAAATATAGAGATATTGCTTATATAGTTTTAAATATAGTTTTAAAGTTTAGTTATTGATGAGTCTTCAATTTATTTTTTTTTTTTTTTTCGTTTTTATTTACATGATAAATTTTGTAGGCAGTCTAAAAATTACTTTGCATTAATTAATCGGTTAAACAATATACTCAAATAAATTACAAATAATAATGAAAACAAGTGCTGGCGTATATGATTATATCTCGTAGCCAAAATATTTAGCAGTGAACTTGTGAATGACAAAGTCCAATAGAGGACAGTTTAGAAATGTACAATGTTTTAGTAAATATTTTCATTTTCATAATAAAAAGAAATAAGTTTGCTTACGGTTAACGAACAATTTTTATGATATTTATATCATAACAGCTTTTTGTAACACATCCATTCCTCTTTTTAACCCTTGACATACAAAAGTCAACTCATTCTGACACTCTTGGGTGTGGTACACACCAAACTTTAGATTAGCATAAAATTTAATTGTAACGCTCTGGAAGACTCAAATAGTTTTCAGAAATAAGCGAAACAATCAGGAAAAAAATAAATAAATTCAAGGTAACCTTAGAGAATCCTATATATTATTTCTAAAAGGTGTTTTTTTTGTCGATACGCCATAACTTCGTCAATTCTTCATCGAATCCAATGATTGTTTTTGAAGATAATCTGCTCCTTCACATGCGAAAAATATTCATACCTCCCCGAAATTTCTACAAAAAAAGTTATGAAGGAAAATAAATTTTATTTGCGAATAACTCAAAAAGTATGTCTTTTTCCGTACCTGTGATAATTAGGAAGATTACTAAATTATCTACAAAACAAAAAAAATCATAATAATCGGACAATTATTAACAAAGATACAGTCCATTAGTTTTGGTATACTTAGTAATGTATTGCGGTTTAAAGATATTGCATTTAGGAGTAGAATAGTCTACTACAATTTTTTTCTTGGCTGATATATTAACTTTATTATTTCTTAAAGGCATTTAGTTGTTCTTACATATTATTTTGTCTTTATTACTTTTATTATCTTTCTAGTGAGCACGGGCGGATCTACGGAGGGGGCTTTCGGGCTGAAGCCCTCCCCAAAATGGTAAAATATAGCCATGTTTTATCGAAAAAAAATAGTTAAAAAGTATCTCTTAAAGTATTATTGTTTCTGTAATAACATTTAAAGGGGCTTTAGGAATCACTTAGACACCATTTCATACAGGTAGTTAGTTTCTTTCATCTTTTCCAAAGTAATTATCGTTATTTTTATGAAAAAAACCGCTTTCGAGCCGAAGCCCCCCCAAAATTAAATCCTGGATCCGCTAGTGCCAGTGAGCGTTTAAAAATAGGTTCTAGCAAAGCAATTTTTACAAATATTCTGGTCTATTATGTTTAATGGAATATTGTAATCGACCAAGGAAAAAATATTAATTTCCAATAGGAACTACTTATTTCCATTATGTTTTGCTATTTCTTCACTAAACAAAATTTTCTGTGAATTTTTCGCACGGGCCAGCTAGTATATTTTATATGCTAAAAAGTTTTAACATAAAGTAAAAACTTAACATTTGCATAGCTGAAAAAAATCAAAAAAGGATCAATATTTTTCTATAGCAAATACAATAAATATATCAATTAAATATATATATTTGGAACGTAAAATATAAACATAATAAAGGAAAAAATATTTGTTTACTTAAATAGATATTAAAACCTATAGTGGCCATTTATGTGACCACTACCCCAGAACAATCCTAGCAAACTGTAGCCCTGCGTTCATCACCGATAGTTCTCTTGCATTGCTGACAAACCATTTTTGTCTTCAAATCTTTCCCTCTCGTGCAAAACAAATATTTGGCTCGTTTTTCCAACAGTAGTCGTTTATTTTTTAATTCCCAATATGAATTTTATGACGTTCGTTTGGTGTATCCACTTGCAGTATTCTTTTCAACCAGGGCTGAAATAATGAATAGCCTAATACAAATAAATAGTTTCTTCGTTTAATTTTTTTTTTCCAGTTAACTAAGCCGAACAATATCATGCTGTTTATACCAGAATGTTTCAACATTCCTTGTTCCATGACATATTTGATCAAAAGTTACTGTGACATATTTAATATGCTCATTGCATCTTTTCTTCATCTTCTAACTCCCATAAAAATTTATGAATTAGAGCTACTTATATAAATGTAAATTAATATTGAAAATGTTGTGAGGTGCGTCACACCTCAGTGTGTCGTTCTAGGGTTAAGAATAAATGGATTTTTATTGGAAGTAACTGAATACAAAAACGTACAAGTTGTTGGAGTTGTATGGGACATATAAATATTTAAAAAACGAATAAGATTTAGGTTGGATTACGAATTTTCTTAGGCGATCAATAACTTAGTTATTACCACCTTGAGCTATTGTGTTATTTTTAATTTATCTTTATGGATGTATATATTTAAAATTATATACAGTAAATATTTTAATAAGTAATTTATATATATGCGCACAAAAGACCTTCACAGTGACCCTCTTAGCTCACAGTGAATTTTGCAACATAAAAAAGAACAAAAAAAAAGTAATTTGTTTCACCACCTTACAACTAATAAAAAATCACCCATTATTAAATATAAAAAAATGTGTAGTATTTTTCAAATAACAGTTTGCAACTTTAAAACTAAATATTAATACTTTAGGTATGAATATCTCGATATATTTGTAATAATTATAATTAAATTTGAATTTTTGCAATATTCAGTTTAAAATGTAGTAATTAGAAATAATTTTCTATTAATAAATGAAATAATAATTGTTTTCTATTGTTTTAGGCCAAAACATCATGGAAGTGAAACATCATACAATTTCATAATATAATCCTGTATATACAGAAATATTTAAGTAATAAATAATTTACTGATTCATTGGAAGATTTTTTTTTTTTTGTACAATTTAGTATACTATATTTTATAAATATAAAGCTTGTCTCCTGTATTTTATGTTATATGTTTAAAACACTAAGGATTAGTTAATTGCATAAGATGTAATAATTAATGTGATTAAACTTTACGTTTTTTTTCTTTTCTTTGAAATTCTCCATTTTTACACTTATACTTGTACCGTCCATGGTGTATTATTTTAAATTACAGAACTTTCAGTGATAAACTGAAAATTAAGATTTAAATTTAATAAATCTAAACAAACAATGCATTTGCTTATCATAAGATATTGATTCAAAATATGCAAACAATTCGAATAAATTGTCAGTTCAAGAAGTCAAATGAACTGAGAGTCAGATTATAAGATGAAATTATATAATTATTTATTATATTAAATAATTATTAATTAATTGTTTTTATATGGTGGAAAGAATCATGATTGAAAATATACAATAATTTTTCATAATATAACTAAAACCTACTATTGTATTTGACGTGTGAATGAATGTAAAAAACTTTCAGTATGAAAGTATATATGGTATGGATATGGTTGACTGTGGGTTCTAATTTCAGAAGAAGTTGGAGGTGTGGTAAAAAAATACTATATTATTTAATAGTATATTTATTACATTGTCCAACGTTTCGACCTTTGTTGGTCTTCTTCAGGACATTCATCTTTAGCAGTGCCAGACAGAATGCCACGAAGAAGACCTACAACGTAGTTCGAAACGTTAGAAAATGTAATAAATATACTATTATATAATATATTATTTATTGACCGCATCCCTCACTAACTTCTTCTGGAAAAAATATATGACCTGGGTTTATGGTAAATATTTAATATTTGATGAATAAGAAATATTTAAGATAAACTTTGATTTGATTTTCAAATAAGATAGATTCGTAGACCAATATGGAATATGGATAATGTTAATATCACCAAATATGTTTGCTAGAAAAGAGTTTAATTCCTAAAAATGATATAAATCTTGAATAAAATAATTTGATGCCAAAATTGGACCAATAAGTTTTAATATTTACCAAATATTTATTTTAAAAACCTACTCTATCCTACATTCTTCTATTATGTTCCAGACACTCCTCTCTTTCTCAACTCAATCGGATATATTTACATTTATCTGTTACTAGTCAAGATATTCAAGAGGGAGTAAAATTATTATTTAGAAGTCTTAACAGTATTACATAGAAATGAATTTTATATCTATTATTATTCTTTAATGTTTTCAATTCGAATATTACTTTACAGAGGTTTAGCTGGATTATTTGCTAAGACCTTGTGGATAACAGCCTGGCTATATTTACACCATATTATTTTCAATTGTCAATATGAACATGACCGAAATCATTTCACTGATTCCAAGCCTAAAATTTCTGAAAATCCTGTTTTAGAGCAGCAGCATTAATATTAAAGGTTTGCCGATTTTTATTTATTCTTTTTCGTCCTCCATTTTCTCACCTTTTAGGCAATACGAGGGTTTTCCCTGCCAATGGGGTGAGGGCATATGCTTAATGCCAGAGTTTAAAACCCCTTGCGGCACAGGGACAAGAACTCATTATTATTTTACGTCATTAACTTCGATTATTAGGTTGTCAAGCAGCACGCGTTGGCCCGCTCGACCATCCCGCCCCAAAGTTTACCTTAAATATGAAAAGAAATTCCTGATTTGTAACATATATAGTTATAAGCATATGCAGAGGAGGGCAGAGGGGAGCTGTTTCCCCTACCCTAAATAATTTATAAGAAAATATGACATAATAAAATAAAAAAGATTTGCCGAAAATCCAAGAAACTTTTTTTTAAAAAATTGTTGTTACATGTGTTGTGTATGAAAATATTTATGAATTGTAATAGGAATCAAATGTTAAATGAAATATTATACAGGGTGCTTCAAGGTTAAGTAGCCAAATCGAAAATATTAATTAAGGACCTCAAAACAAGACAATAAATACTAATGAAGGGATGTCTGCAAACGCTTTGTTTAGAAGGTATTCACACTTAAAGATTTTGATTGTTATGAATTATTTACGTTATATTAAGTAAATAAAACTTATTTATTTTTTCCAACTACTTTATTGATTAAACGTAAACATTAAATTCTTATTAAATGTTGTTCAAGTGATTTCCTTCAGCATTAAGACAGGCTCCGTATCTTTCTTCAATAGCAGCAGTGGGAGAACAGCACTGGATTCGTAAGAAATTAAGGTCATTGACCAGACCTGCAAAGACTTTTTGTTTTTTAATTAATAAAATAGTTAGAACAAATAAATAGGTTTTATTTATTTCATATATCGTTAATAATTCATAACAACGAACATCTTTAGGTTTGAATATCTCTTAGACAAAGCGTTTGCTAACATACCTTCAGAGAATTCTTTTTTCTTGTTTTGAGGTTCTTAGTTCATTTTTGCACTTTGGCCACTTAACCCTGAAACACTCTGTAGAGTTAAAGTTATTTATCTACCTTCAATTTTCCTTTATTCAGTCTTGACCCTCCCTAATATGAAAGCTGCGTACGCCTTTGCATTTAGTGTTCCTTTGCAAATTGTTTCCAAACTAATCACCTTGTAGACTTTGAAGTATTATGGAATTTTCTATTCCCTCTTTGATCATTATTTTTAAAACTTAGAACACTGAACGTGTGAAACAATTGAAAATCAGCGTGGAGTGATTGCAGCATCAACGATTGGCAAAGTACCACAATACCTCATTAAGATAGTTGATAGTCTCATTTCTGATAGAACCTTGAGGTAAAGACAGATGGTGGATTGAAAACTTACATAATGTTGGGTATCTAATGAGATCCTACTGAGGTTCACGCTTGCAATGATCTAACATCTACCTACGACGGAAAATGGGGCTTTAAGATGTTTCTGTGCAAAAACAAAAAATAAATATGGTGCGGTGCGTACATCACACAACTTTCACTTATTAACTTTAAAGTATGTCGATATTTTCATATATATGGAAGTCATAGTAAAAACGCCAGTACAACTTCATTTAAGTTCAATATACCGAAAATAGAAACCTTAAAAGAATTTTACAACATTAACGTAAATTACAACTTAAGTTCTGACGGTGGATCTTTGAAGATTGATTTCATTAAGAGCAAATTTAGTCTTTTACCAATTTTGTTTTTCTGTACAGTCAATTAGTTTATTATTCATGAAAAATAATAGACACTCAGATTTTGGGGTCAACAGATTGGCTTATTATTTTCAATAATGAACCATTGTAAATGTCCAAAAAAATGAACCCCTCCTCCAAATTTGAGGTTTTACGTTTCACGATACGTAGAATTCGAAAATTGAATAAAAATTTGTTTGTCCGTCCGCCGTTAGCGACTTTTCACCGAGGCTACTCGATCGATTTTTTTTCAAATTTGGAATCAAAGTCAGATTTCACCCGAGGTTGATCCTCCTACCTCGACATTACTATCCGTCTTTTTCTTCCAAGATGACGGCCGAAAAACCTGATTTAGTACAGACTGTAGTGCTTAAACGAAGTTGGCTAAAGTCTTCTCCTCGATGACCTTTAAATTGATCTTTACAACGTACTTTACCGAAAAAAGCTGGAAAAAAAGTTATGAGGGGTGGTAAAATTAGATATCCTAATAACTCAAGAAGTGTACACTTTTTTGTTGATATTAATGGTGATTTAAAAGTTTACGAATTTTAATAATAATAAAAAAAATCGTTGAAATCGGACAATTTGGAGCAAAGATGGTGGTGGTATGCATATACGTCTCTTATAGTCCACTATTCCTTTATTGTCCCTAACAAGCTGAGTTCTGTGTCTACCCCTTAAAGTTCCCTTCTCTTATAGGTAGGAGAATTTTAGTGGAGATACAGGGCCGTTCATAATTCCCAAAACTCCCCTTTACTCTCACTGCAACTTATATTTAACTGACAGAAAATGTAATTATAGTGTTATTATTATTGTTTTTGCTAGTATTATACTTCTGAAATTATCATTTTTGTTATCATTATACTAAATATAATCTTAATAAAATCTAGTGAAATGAAACTTCTTGTTTCAAACTATTTTCTGAATATTTAAGAGGTAGGTTAAAAGCTAAAAAAGAAAAACTTTATTGAGTAACTTGTTTTCTCCACTCTCCTAGAACGATTCAGTAGTAGAAGGTAATGCTCTTGTTACCATACAATGACTTGTTTTATTATTATCTATGGATGGCTCAATAAATATTTAGTGTGGAAGAAAACCATTTCTTCACATCACAAGTTTTAGAAAGAGTGTCAGTTCTGAAAAACAAGAAAACTCTAGGAAAGTATCAAGTTTGCTGCAAGTTCCTTTTCAAGTGTTCAGTGTTCTCATATATTTATATGATAATAGCTAAAATATGAAGGCAGAAAGCCTATGTAAGTCAATTAGCTTTGTCAGAACTTATCATAGAATAGAATAGAATAGAAAATAATTTAATTCTTTAACGAAGTCCCTTCAGAATAACAAAGAAGTACAGAAATTAAAATTTTAGATCTGGCCAGATAAAAATAAACAAAAAAAGTAAAGATAAAGATAAATCAGTAAAAAAAAACAAAAAAAATAAAATATTAGTTATACATAATATATACAAAATAAAATAAAATAATCTATATACAAAAATCTCAAAACCATACTAAGATACTTAAAACTATGTACAATGGTAAAATATAAATAAACCCTTTTAGAAAAAAAAAAATGTAAATTCTTCTTAACAGTAAAATCCGTGTTTCTGTTAAAAAAAATATATAAAATATAAAAATATGTAAGTCTACATAAAAGGTTAGCTGGTATCTGACTGTTGTTGGAACAGGAATTGGAATAGGAGGGTTTTGAATGTAGATAGGGATAAAGAATGTCGGATTTTGATAGGAAGGGATTTCCAAAAACTAACAGAGCGAGCAATAAAGGAGTTTTGGAACGAGGCAGATCTGTGAGAAAGAATGTAAAGGTCGGAAGGTCGAAATCTTGTGGAGTGGATTGAGGACTTGAATTGGAGAAGATTGTAGGCGTAGGAAGGACGATGATTGTTGATGATATGATAGAGGAATGTACCTAGGAAATATTGTCTTCGAATGGAGGGGAAGAGCCTCTCTAACTCAGTGTAGTGGTGAGAGACATGGTAGTATCTCGG